CGACGAGGCGGCGGCATGAGCGTCTCTGGCAGCCTCAGCCACCAGAGCCGTCCCACGACCGCCGCCAGCAGAACCCATGTCCCCCTCGCTGCCCACGGCTTCTTTCGCCCCATGAGCTCCCAGCGCCTGCAGCAGCAGCGCAACCAGCGTCCCACGTCGCTGCTCGGCCACAGCTCTCTGTACTCGGAGACTGCGCTGGAGCCAAACTCCAATCCCTACCGCTCCAGTACCGGATCCACCCAGACCAACCGCGGCGTCATGACACTGGGCCTCCACCACGAAGAGGATCTGCAGCCTCCACCCTCGCGTGGCACCGACATCACCGACAGGGACATGCCCGACCGCACCACGGCCAACTCGACCCCCACCGGCGCAGAAACTGTGCGCAGCCACGGCGAGAGCATCACGCCTCTACAGCGCCCCCGACCCCAGCACCTCAACCTGGCCAATGTTCACAGTCACGATGCCGGCAAGAACCAACCCGCTCCTAGCAAGTCCCCGCGCTCCTTTCGTTCTAGCTTCATGGTTTCCAGTCGCGAGGGCCGCTCAAACCAAATACGCCCCCATCAAGGCCACGAAAAACTCACGTCTGCCGAGCCATCCCCCCGACTGGCGCGTAAGGAGGCCACCAAAGAGGCAGTCAAGCGGGAGTTGGGTAAAAACTACCAGTACTTTTCCGGAAACACGGCATTCTGCTGGGGCGGTCGACTGCAGAACACGCGCGACAGGCCTGTCAATGTGGCGACGGCCATACTTATAATTCTGCCAGCCTGCCTTTTCTTCGGTTTCTCGTGCGTCCAAATTCCCTTGTCAAATACTCTCACTTCTGCTAACTTGTACACTAGGGCGCCTTGGCTCTGGCGTAATGTTTCTCCTGCGATACCCATTCTCTTTGCATACTTGCTTCTCGTTTCCGTGTCTTCTTTCTTACATGCATCTGCTTCAGATCCCGGAGTATGTAACACAGCCTTTTTCTGCGTCTAATATCACTAACACCCCGCCAGATACTTCCGCGGAATCTTCATCCTTTCCCCCCGCCTAATCCTAATGACGACCCGCTGAGCCTCGGTCCCCCGACGACCGAATGGACAATGGTGGTATCCGCAACTGGCGCTAATGCCGCCATGGAGGTGCCGACAAAATACTGCAAAAGCTGCAACATTTGGCGCCCTCCGCGCGCTCACCATTGTCGCGTATGCGACAATTGCATTGAGACCCAAGATCACCATTGCGTCTGGCTCAACAACTGCGTCGGTCGCCGCAACTATCGTTACTTCTTCGTCTTCGTTTGCGCCACTACTCTGTTGGCAATCTTTCTACTCGCTGCCAGCCTAACGCACCTATTGGTGTGGCGAACCCGAGCAGGTGTTTCCTTTGGTGCTGCCATAAACGAGTGGCGTGTACCCTTTGCCATGTGTATATATGGACTCCTCGGCTGGATGTACCCTTTCAGTCTTGGTGCATACCACCTTTTCCTAGTTGGGAGGGGTGAGACGACGCGTGAATACCTTAATTCCCACAAGTTTCTTAAGAAGGACCGACACAGGCCTTTTACTCAGGGTTCGGTTCTGAGAAACTGGTTAGCGGTACTGCAACGTCCACGCCCACCAACATATCTCCATTTCAAGAGGAGTTATGAACAAGGTGATCAACGATTTGGGCCTCGTAGAGATAAGCGAACAGCCCCGTTGGCACCAGAGCAGCAAGGAGGAGGTGTGGAAATGCAAGATGTTCGTGCTTCAGAGGTCTTTCAGGGCCCAGTGGGTCGAAATACTGTGGAAGTTGGTGCTGCTTAGATACACACGGAGATCAGCTTCTGATTTGTTTTACTATGATTAAAATAGCGGTATTGAGCTATTGTGCTTACACATCCCCCGTCCATGAGAATACTAGTCACTATAGATATGAGATATGAGCGTGAGGTCATGTATAATTACTCGAAGTATTGCAACATGCTTCCTGTGTACACTAAAGGACGAATAATTGAGCCATTTCCGGTCCCAGATCCGTCGGATTGCGAGAGGGGTGGGTGGTGCTCGTAACACTGGGATGGATAAGGAACAGCCTAATTGGCCGAATGACTAGCTACATATGTTTACCTCCTCAATCCTCCGACCGTCAACCCTCACCTCTGGAACGCCGCACCTCTCGACGCATGCATAGTACTTCTTGTGAACCTATCTGACCGCTGTATATAGTTCTACTATCCTTGTCCGCTTACTGCGAGTGAACTGTGGCAGTGTCGCTTGGTGAGCGCCATTGACCCGGCCAGACCGTCGACCTCCTCAGCGCGTCAGTGCCTCGCCCCTCAAAGACAACGACCGCGACACGCGTTACAATCCTCCTCACCAGCCAACATGGCCGAGCGCGACCTCTCGCCCACGTCGACATCTTCGACACGGTCCAACATTACCGTGCGGACAGACAAGCAGGTCGATGATCGCGCTATGTCTAGCGCGTCGCCCTCCATCTCCACGCCCCCCACGAGCCTCGGCGACGAAGCCAGCGTCCTTTCCGAGATGCCCAAGATCGAACAAGTTGTTGAAAGTTTTGAGGAGGCCACTGTGGTGGAAGTGGCATGCGACGCCGCCCCGTCAGCAGAAACCCCGACTCCTGAGCAAGCCAGTAGCGAGAGCCGCCGGCCCGCAAGGAGTTCGCGCAAATCTGTTACAACGTACAATGTCCAGATTCTCGCCGGAACTGCCATCCATACTCCGACAAAGTACCTCGAGAAGCATCACAAAAATGTCGTTCACGGCTCATTGGAGTCCCTTATAAAGAACGAGGCACCACCAACAAAGAGGAAATACCAAAAGCGGAAGTCTGTAGCGGCAGATGGCAGCGATCAAGCCGAAGAGCAGCTGGCTTCCGAATCTACTCAGGCAGCCCGGCGTCGCACTTCCTCGCGAGTTACGGATCTTCGAAAGGAGGTGCTCCGCAACATGTCAGGAGTTGGAGAGGCAGTGTCAAACACCTTTTCAGGAGGGAAGGCGCTACTCCAGGGAGGTCTCCGGCGCAGCGCATCAGCCCCTCAGCTGAAATCGTCCAAGTCAAAGTCAGCCACAAATTCCCTCAAGCGCTCACGTGCCGCAGTCGAGGAGAGCGACAGCCTCCCAGACAGCGAGACCCAAGAAGTTGCGAAGCCAAAAACCAAGGTCTGGCTGAAGCAAGGTCTGTACGTGGGCCAGGATCGTGATTTTGACCCTCGTCTCTCAGAAAGCCAAAATCGCGCAAAGAAGCGGGCCAAGAAGTCCAAGGAGAGCAAGGAAACCAACGCTCTACCCCTCCCGGTTTTTGCTACCGATCGCCTTTTGAACGAAGACCCAAAACATGTATTCCGTGATTTCAAACTTCCATTCGATACTTACCATCCTCTGCCTAGAAAAATCAAGGTGGATGGATGGGTCAAGTTGAACAAAAGTAGGTTCGCCAGAATTAACCAAGTGACACGGCTAACATTACCCAGACAGATTCATTGGCGATGCATCTGCCCTCTGGAAGCGGGACAAGCAAGACACTTCTCAATGCTATTGCGATGTCGATGATGGCTGCGGAGAGTCGTGCCACAATCGCATCATGGCCTACGAATGCGACAGTACGAATTGCCCACTTACCAATGAGCAATGCAACAATCGACCTTTTGCAGAGTTGAGGAAGCGTGCAAAGGGTAACCGCTACGACTACGGTGTAGAGGTTCTGAACACCGACGATCGTGGCTTCGGTGTACGCGCCATGCGAACTTTTGAGCCGCATCAAATCATTGTTGAATATGCCGGAGAGATCATCACACAGTCCGAGTGCGAGCGACGCATGAAGCAGGTGTACAAGAAAGACAAGGTGAGATTTCATCATTTTAGCCTAATTGGTTACACTAACATGTGATAGTGCTACTATCTGATGAGCTTTGATAACAAGATGATCATTGATGCGACTCGTGGAACTATTGCCCGCTTTGTTAACCACTCATGTGAGCCCAACTGCGAGATGATCAAATGGACTGTTGGGGGTGAGCCCCGAATGGCTTTGTTTGCTGGGTCTCGAGGAATCATGACCGGCGAAGAATTGACGTACGATTATAATTTTGAGTAAGTTTTTTTCAGGTTACTGCACGGTGAGGAATGATTCTAATTTAGACAGCCCATTTTCGCAAAAGAACATTCAAGAGTGTCGATGTGGTACCGAGTCTTGCCGTGGTGTGCTTGGTCCTAAACCTAAGAAACCCGTCGAGGAAAAGTCTCTTACTTCACCACTGATCGCCGGCACGAAGCGCAAACTTCAGGATCTGCTCGGTTCAAAAAGGGGTGGCTCCGAAAGCTCTCAGAATTCGCGGAAGAAGCGGAAGCTTCTTGCTGGGAAAATTGGTTCTATCAAAGCAAGAAACAAGTTGATTGCATCACAGACGGCCCGTGAGCGAGCTGAGCAAGAAGCAAGTGAGCACTCTCGGCAGACTGCATCTCGCGAAAACCGCGCTCTCAAGAGGTCGGCGCCAGCAACGACAGGCCGACAGGCTCGAGCAGCCAAGTCAAGTACTACTCGTCCCGCTGCTGTCAAGGTCACCACACGCCACACAACAGTTACCTTTCAGCGTAAGGTTTCGCGACCGGGCGCGTTGAAATCCGTAAAGAAGTTTTCCCGGACAGAATCCTGTGCACGCCAAGCCGAACCCAAGCCTAAAGGCAAAAAAGGAGTCCGATCCGCCCAACGACCTAGTACTCCCGACCGAGAGACGAGCGACAGCGCATCAGAATCCGAAGAAGACAATATGTCTGTAAATATCACGCCCGCCTCTTTGCGTAGTGCGACTAGGAAATCAGCTCAATCCAGCCCCGTTGTACGTGGACACCCAGACACCGAAATGCAAGCAAGTGGGATTTCTCGAAAATCTAACAAAGCTAGTTTGTACAGTCCAGCAAAGCTGCAGTCTGCGCAAAGTAAAGCCCGCATTGCACGGGGAAAGTAAGTCAGTCGACTCGACAGTTGACAGACGATGAATTGCTCTTAGTATACGGTGTAAAATGGTTGGTTTTGGCTTTTCCTTCTTCTTATATTCTTCTTAGGGTTATACCTATGGAAGAAAGGTAATACAGTTCTCCTTTCTCATTGGTTGGTTTTGTTCGTATAGCGCGTATAGCATGTATTGAGAGGAAGAAGTATACGGGGTCTATAACGAGGTATCATGCTTCCATCTTTGTTACAGGCGAGAAAAGACGGGTAGTTCAGGCAGGAGAGTGGTGTTTTCTTGTTAGCGAGTATGGTCTTTTTGTATGCGTCATTTCATCTTTCTTGTTCAACAATGAAATATGTAGTTATTGGCTGAATGCCCCCCACATATTAGTGTGTGTTTGCTTCAACGCGGATTCGTTTGCTGCCCCGACTGTGATGGGTGATGGCATTTTCGTATTGAAATGTGCATTATCAATGTTGGATTTTCTTTGATACAATGTCAAACTGCGTGATTGTCTTCTTGTCTAGTCTTGAATATGTCAGCGTCTTCAGTTTTGTCGCTGCGAATGCGGCAAGATTGTGAGGTCGTCTTGTCATTCCGAAGTTTGCATCTACTGGCGTGCATCCTCCCAGGTTGTCAAATCCATAGTGTACCGTGATTGGGCTGTCAGCACTAGTCTACAGAAATGTCACCTTGGGTTCGTCATCTTTAGAAAGAATGCAGTCCAAGAGCAACTAGCATCTATTTCTAAACATGACACTAGATTTCACCTCTACCCACTTGTATTACGTGTATAGCAATCGGGTAGTCCATTTGAAGTTTCAGTCTATTTTCGAGGCCAGGATGGCTGTATATTAGCATTTGAAACACCACACGTAAGCACACATTGCCCTCGACTGTCATAAAAGAAAAGAGAAGCATTGATTGGCGGATTCATTCATGTAGCGTCACGTCATCGCAACATCTCGTGAGGCGCGTTTTTTCCTCGAAGCAGTTGTCTACACCGCGGCACCACTTTAGGCCTAGCGCGCCAGCAACCTCGAGCTTGCATGCTAGGGTTATGTAGTCAAGGCTGTCGACGTGCATTTGTCGCGACTTTCTCTTTCTCTTTCACTTTCTTCTTCCCTCACTATTTGTAGAGTGCTTCAAGAGCACTGCTACACCCTCAACCACTCCCCGCCACGCCCCTCTGCGCCTTTCTGCGCGCACACGAAGCCTCCCGCTATGGGCTCCGCCGCCGCCGTCACTGCTCGCCGTAGCTCATGATGCCCACTGCTGCCCATCCTAACCCGCTTGCCTTGCACGCTCCTGCGCCCGCGACCGCCGACATGAATGGCTCTACACACCACCATCAGCAGTCGTCGCTCTCGGTGCCTGCTTCCGAGCAGTTGCGACCCAACACCGCCGTACCTGCCAATCCCTCGACAGCCAACGATGCAGACGACCCTCCACCGCCTGTCCGCCCGGCCTCGTCTGGTCACCCGCCCGCTCGCCCCGGCTTTGCGCGTGCAAAAAGCGACTTTGGGCCTCGTCATGCCGTCATGCCGCCCGATGGTACCGACGAGGAGAGCATTGATGGACACTTCAAGATTCGCCATGGCTGGCACGACCAACTGAACTCGGAGGAGTATAGCAACCTGCTCACGTCCAACTTCTTCATGTACTACACCGACAAGAAGCATGAGACGGGTGGGCATCCCAAGAACGACGACGGCGCGTTTCCCGTCCAGGAATGGCGCATGCGAGACCGCCTCAAGACCGTCTCCGCCGTACTTGCCCTCTGCTTGAACATCGGCGTAGACCCTCCGGACGTCATCAAGACGAATCCCTGTGCAAAAGAAGAGTGCTGGATCGACCCCACCGTCACTTCACAGACACCAGGTCACACACCTATGAATCAGATTGGCAAGGCTCTTCAGACACAGTACGAGCAGCTTAGCATGCGCACGCGCTACAAGTTGCTACTCGACCCTACGACAGAGGAGACGAGAAAGTACACATCGACGCTGAGGCGCAATGCCCGCAACGAGCGTGTCTTGTTCCACTACAATGGCCATGGCGTGCCCAAACCTACGTCATCGGGTGAAATCTGGGTGTTTAACAGAAATTACACTCAGTACATACCCTTGTCGCTCTACGACTTGCAATCCTGGATCGGCGCCCCCAGTCTCTTTGTCTATGACTGTTCTGACGCTGGTCTCATAATCAGCAACTTCAACCGCTTTGCTGAAAAGCACCAGGCGGAATTTGAGGAAGCCCGTCGTAGAGACCCTAGCGTCGAGCACGTCGATTTTGCCGATTGTATCCATCTTGCAGCATGCAGGGAAAAAGAGTCTCTTCCCACAAACCCAGAGCTTCCGGCCGACGTCTTCACCTCCTGCCTGACCGACCCTATCACCATGGCCGTGCGATTTTTCATATTGCAGAACCCCCTTCCAACTAAAGTCAGCCTTCGAGATGCTCATAACATTCCAGGCAAGGTCTCCGAGCGTAGAACGCCTATTGGTGAATTGAACTGGATATTCACAGCCATTACTGACACCATTGCGTGGAATTCTCTTTCCAAACCCTTGTTCAAGAAGCTGTTCCGTCAGGATTTGATGGTCGCAGCTCTCTTCCGCAACTACCTTCTTGCACAGCGAGTCATGCGTGCCTACCATTGTCACCCTGTGTCGCATCCTGAAATCCCCCAAACACATGACCACCCGCTGTGGCGCAGCTGGGACCTTGCTGTTGAACTCATTTTGGCCCAACTGCCAGCTCTTCAAGCTGAAGCTCGCGGTGAACGCGAGTACAACTACAAACACTCTGATTTCTTCTCAGAGCAGTTAACTGCTTTCGAGGTCTACCTGACCCAGGGCGCAGTCGAACAAAAAGTACCAGAACAGCTTCCCATAGTACTACAAGTACTGCTGAGTCAGGTCCACCGACTGCGTGCCCTCATCTTGCTCTCGAGCTTCCTTGACCATGGTCCTTGGGCTGTGAATCTTGCGCTGAGCATTGGCATCTTCCCGTATGTGCTAAAACTGCTGCAATCACAAGCAAATGAGCTCAAACCGGTCATGGTCTTCATCTGGGCCCGAATTCTTGCCGTGGATCAGTCATGCCAGGCTGATCTTCTCAAAGACAATGGCTATCAATATTTCATCAGCATATTTAACCCCAATTCTGGTATATTGCTAAAAACAACCATCTTGCTATCCATAAGCTAAGTAACAACAGGTATCCCTATCCAAAATGCCAGCGAACACCGTGCTATGTGCGCCTTTATCATTTCCATGTTCTGCAAAGATTACAACCAGGGACAACGTGCCTCGCTCAACACAGAGTTGGTCGAGAGTTGCTTGGACCATCTCAAAGACATGCAAAATCCATTGCTGAGGCAGTGGTCGTGTCTCTGCTTGAGTAAGCTCTGGGTAAACTACGAGGAAGCAAAGTGGGTTGGCATACGATGCATGGCACATGAGCGGCTATGCGAGCTTGTCGTGGATCCTGTCGCTGAAGTCCGGGCTGCAATGCTGCATGCACTGGCATCATTCCTAGGTATTCGTGATGTTACGCCCCAGGTGGCTAACATTGAAGAATCCATCGCCTCCATGATTTTGGTCATGACGATGGATGGTAACAGCATGGTCCGAAAGGAATTACTCATCTTCTTTTCAACATTCGTCGCTCGCTACAAGAGCCGTTTCATCGTCGCTGCATTCGAGCAATTCTCAGAAGAGAACACCGATTCGAGTGCAAAGCAATCGGATGACAAGACCGGCGACTCATTGTACATGAAGAGCCGAACAGGAACCACGGGTATCTCCGAGTCAACATCCTGCTCGCAGAACACCATCTACTCGGCGATATGGAAGGAACTGTTGGTCATGTCAGTTGACCCATATCCAGAAATTGCGCGCGATGCTGGAATCGTGGTTGATTACATTCTGATGGCATTGATGGATTCATCTCTGGCCAAATTTGTACAACCGCAGTTGGATGAGACTCTCCAACACGCGCCAGCCCCTCGTCCAATGCGCCGTGTAGTCGACGAAGGCCCCGCCCCTCAAAAACAATCAAATCCTCCGACACCCACAAAGGACTCCACATACTTGTCTCTTTTTGGCGGCATTAGGAAATCTACAAGCGTGGGTGCCTCGCTCAAGAACCTTTGGGCCAGTCATGACTCAGCAGGCTCCAAACAGGGCTCGTTAGGAAGGACTGGTACGGAGAGTTCTCAGATGTCTACTGCATCACGCCCCCAAACACCAGAGAAGTACAATGCCGATGAACAGCCAACATCTCGGGGCTTCAAGAACCGCAATTTGGCAGAAAGGCCAGAAATACCACTGAAGAGTGTATTCTTTGAGTGGTCTGTGGAATACTTTAGAGAGCCCCAGATGAAGCCGACCGAAGCCGATGAGCCGGGCAGCACAGATTACAATGGCAGACTTTGGCGCAGGAACCGCAATGATAAGATCATTGCCGAGACCCAGCCGCTTAAGGACATTGCTATCTCCAACCGCTGGGATGTGCCCCGCGGATATGTCGACAACCTCAGTCAGCCTGCAAAGATGTTCTTCCACCAATTTGAAGATCATCTTGTCGTAACCGATACGCGAGATACTGTCAACATTTTTGATTACTCGAAATCTGTCAATCGCATCAACAGCTTCTCCAACGGGAACCCACCTGAATCAAGAATAACTGACGTCCGGTTCATCAACGAAGACGACCAGGCACTGCTGATGACCGGGTCATCTGATGGTGTCATCAAGATATTCCGCAACTACGATCGAAAGGGAGAAACGGAACTAGTTACTGGATTCCGAGCCCTGACGGATCTCGTCTCTAGCAACAAGAATGCCGGGCTAGTATTTGACTGGCAGCAAGGTAGAGGCTTGATTCTGGTCGCTGGTGACGTCAAGGTCATTCGAGTGTGGAATGCCGGGACTGAAGTGTGCACGAATGTGAGTTGAATTTTGTCATTAATTTATTTACTGTGACTGACTTTTACAGGACCTCCCGGCGCGATCCGGTTCTTGTATCACATCATTGACGTCCGACCAAGTAGAGGGTGACGTGTTTGTTGCTGGCTTTGGTGATGGTGCCATACGTGTGTATGACCAGCGCCAAAAGCCTGCTACCGCCATGGTCAAAGTCTGGAAAGAACACAAGCAATGGATCACCAACGTGCATCTCCAGCGTGGAGGACAGCGTGAACTTGTAAGCGGCTGTCGTGGTGGTGAAATCAAGCTATGGGATATCCGTTGGGACCGCAGTGTGAAGACCATCCAGGCAACTTCCGATACTCTGAGAACTCTGAGTGTCCATGAACATGCCCCTGTATTTGCTACGTAAGTTTCTTTGACGACCTCAAGGATAACACAATGTACTAATCATCCCAGTGGCACACAACGACACCGAGTCAAAATCTTCAACATCAACAACGGCCAACCTGTATCTCACCTTGAGCCGTACTCTGGCTTCCTTCGTGACCGCTCCTCCCCCATTTCTGTTACCGCTTTCCATCCTCATCGACTGATGATTGCCGCAGCCGCAGCACACGACACTCATGTCAACATTTTCTCGTGTCACGAGCCCAAGAATGCCACTGTCAAAACAGTGAAGCTTTGGGATGGAGGTGCTACTGCATCGAGTCGATCATCCATACACGGCTGATCAAGGTTTTCACTATATTTTTTTTGGTGTTTGGGGAGGATGTTGTGACAGTGGGAGGATTGCGCAGTGGGTTACTCCTTTCTATGGTGCATACAGCGGGGCTCATGGAAGGCCCATCTTGTTATTATACCCAGTCACATTAATAAGTAATATGGTATGAAGTAATGCATCCATTGTTAACAACCTTTGCTTGCCATGCTGTGAGTAAAGTGACTAGTGGGTGTGCTTGAGCCACAGAGCGTGGTGGCTGGGGTGCCTATGACGCTGCGGGGGATGGCGGGGCTGTGAATCATTCATGTATGCCCCACTATCGAATTCCGACTGACAATTCCACACCACGCAGCTTTGGAACGCGCCCTATAGCTCAGATCACCCGACACAAACACAATGAGTGACGCACCACCAGCCGGCGGCGAGGCACCCTCCAAGAATGCGTTGAAGAAGGCGCAGAAGGAGAAGGAGAAGGTTGGTGCTCTGTTTTTTGCTTCACATTGGATCGACTAACATTTGCGCAGGCGGAGAAGAAGGCCGCAGCAAAAGCCCGTGAACTCGCTGAGCGCACCAAGAAGGAAGCGGATGACGCTGCCGATGTCTCTGTTGGCTCATACGGTGAGCTCCCTCTGATTGGATCCAAAGACTACAAGCCTACAGGAACCCCTCGCACCGACCTCACTGCCATTGCCGACAATGAGGACAAGGAGATCACATTCCGATGCTGGGTCGAGAATGCGAGAGTTCAATCAGCCAAGCTTGCTTTCCTGAACCTGCGCCAGAACCTGAACACCGTTCAGGCCGTCGTTGCGGCCAGCGACAAGCTCAGCAAGCAGATGGTCAAGTTTTGCGGCAACGTCAGCACTGAGAGCACTCTGGTTGTCACAGGTCTGGTCAAGCGAGTCAAGGAGCCCATCAAGAGCGCGACCATTAGCGATTTTGAGATCCACGTCCAAAAGCTGTTCGTCGAGGCCAGTGCCGAGATTCCCCTACCTCTCCAGGTGTCTGATGCCGAACGACCCATGCCTAGCGACGCGGCAGTGGAGGAGGGCGAGAAAGAGGGAGAGGGAGACGAGCGTCCGCTTGTCAGTTTGAACACAAGGTTGAACAACAGGACACTTGACCTCCGGGCTAAGATCAACCAATCGATTTTCGTCATCAAGAGCGGCGTATGTGCCCTGTTCCAGGAGTTCCTCTCAAAGAAGGGCTTCGTTCTAGTCCACACACCCAAGATACTGTAGGTGATTCCTGTTCTCTAGGCTTATGTGGGCTAACATTATGTCAAGTGGAGCTGCTTCCGAAGGAGGAGCCAACGTCTTTGAACTGAAATACTTCGGTCGCCCCGCATACCTTGCTCAGTCACCACAATTCTACAAGCAGATGCTGATCGCATCCCGCTTCCAGAAAGTTATGGAGATTGGCCCTGTGTTCCGTGCCGAAAACTCCAACACTGCCCGCCATTTGACAGAGTTCACCGGTCTCGATCTGGAGATGGAGTTCCAAGAGAACTACCACGAGGTCATGAGCGTCTTGGAAGACCTTATGCTCTTCATCTTTAACGAACTCAACGCGCGCTACAGCAAAGAGACAGAGCTCGTCAGAGGCGTCTACCACGTTGAGCCATTCAAGCTGCCTGAGTCTGGAAAGGTGCCCAGGATTCCCTTCCAGGAGGGTATCAAGATGCTTCGCGAAGCTGGCGAGGAGCTCGGTGACTACGATGACCTGACGTAAGTTTGGTTTACTCTTTGTCATCAGTGCGCATATCTAACATATTGCCTAGAACCCCACAAGAAAAGCACCTCGGCCGTCTTGTCCTCGAAAAATACGGCACCGATTTCTACACACTCGACCAATTCCCACTCGCCATTCGTCCCGCGTACACGATGCCATCACCCGCCGATCCAAACCTGTCCAACTCATACGACATGTTTATGCGTGGCCAAGAAATTTGCTCAGGCGCACAACGTATTCACTCGTCCGCTCTCCTCGCCGAGCAGATGCGTAAGCATGACCCCCCGATTGACCCTGCCGGTGCGGGAACAAAGGACTACGTCGACTGCTTCAAGTATGGCTGCCCGCCGCATGCTGGAGGTGGTTTCGGTCTAGAGCGTATTGTACAGTTTTGGCTGGGTTTGCCGAATATCCGTATGTGCAGCCTGTTCCCACGTGACCCTCAGAGAGTTGTGCCCTAGGCGTGTTGTTGAGGTCGCGTGAAAGTCTGGGTTTAGCGAAAGACAATGGGCATCTTTGTGAGATGACGGGCGTATGTTTGTAGTGAAAAAAAAAGAATACCAAAAATTAGAATATCCGTCGCAAAAGAGGAAAGTAAATCTTTTTCTTACGAGCTTGATCACCAAAGATTATATATGGGGTGAGGACAGCTATTTTGCGACTGTGTGATTGCTCACTCTTAGCTTTATTCTATTTGTTAAATATTGTTCCCTCCTAGTGCTCCTTGCTAGCGATGTATCACATGCGAAATGGTAGCCCAATAATTTTGGTGGGATCGGCTACTTCATTTTCAGCATCTTGTCGCGCCAGAGGAAACCCCCTTTATTTCAATAGGTTCCCTGATCGAACCATGACCTAGGGTTGGCGGCGACGGAAGTCAGCCCCTTCTCTTTGGATTGCTGAGCTTTCGTCCGTGGATAGAAGGGAATTGCGGTTCGCCTCAGTTCCCTGACTCCTATCGCGTATGGAAACTCCTACCAGATTCGTCTCGTGGTAGTAGGCGTGAGTATAATGCGAGGTCCGATTTTACGCCTCACGTCCCTCCTCTTGACTTGAACGATGCTGCCGTCAGCTCTAAAAAAATCTTCTCTGACGCCGAAATATCGAGCGAATGCTCTCCTCTTCCAAAAGAGCATCCGATGGGCCAGTCCTGCCCTAAGAACAAAGCTTCAACGTCGCCGCGGCAAGCTTCTTCTGACCCTCCTCCCCCAATGCCTGTTCATCAACCTCTTGTATCGCCTTCCCAATCGCCAGCGTCGCCCTCACACTCCCCGCATCCACATGCACAAGTCCATTCCTTCCCACTGTAACCTCAAACCCAATTTTCGCGCCCAGCGTCTCCAGCAGCGTAATCCCGCCGCGTGCAGCAAGCATACGCCTCGCCATTCCCAAGCTAACCTTAAACACCATGCCACCCTTCAACAAGCCGAGGCCTTCGCTTTTGCCGGTGGAAGGGTCCACGCAGGTGAGTTCGGGAGGCAGGTCTTTGCCTGCGCTTGCGACGCGGCAGTATACGAGCGAGTTTGGGGGGAGCTGAGGGCGCGTTTTCTTTGTTGCGCCTTCGAAGGCGAGGTGGGGGAGGGTGGCGGGCGGAGTCGAGGGGGTGAGGAGGCAGTTGAATGTTTCGGCGGCGGAGCTGGAGACGGTGGCTATGACGAGGTCGCTTGTGTAGGGGAGGTACTGTACATGGTTGTTAGTCGGGACCGCGGTTTGCTATTCTTTATCCTTGAGAAAGAAGAAGACGCGCTCGACGCAAAATATATGTGAAATATTTCAGTCCTATATAGGAGGTGAAACTGACTCTTCCGCTGTTGTATTCGATTGAGGCGGCATTCTTCCTGTTGTCGGTGACCAGGGCGCCTGCAATGGTAGCTGTGACCGTGTCGGGAGGTATATGGCGTAGACCGGGTCCAATTGTCAATGTCTTTTTCTTGCCTGTACCCTGGGGTAAAGCGCTTTTTGGGACTTCATCGCCTGGAAGGACGATTGTGGGTGATAAAGCCATGGTGAAGTTGGGTATATGGTGTTGTAGTAAAGTACTAACTTTTTGGTGGTTGAAGCAAGCATGTGCAGTGAGCTCATTCCGAAGTGCGCCCGTGCGCTTCCGAGAAAAATGCACCTCCGTACCTCGTCGCCGAACAAGAGTGGAATTTCCTTAGCCGCGAAAAGAAATCGACTTTACACGCGCTACGACTTGACGACAAAGCAACCCAGACAACCCTTTTTGCCCCTGTTTCTTCGTTTGAATCGGGCAATTGTCTGCATCTCCGTGACATTTCGTCTTTCTTTTTTTTCGTCCACGATAAGACTCCCTTCCCCCGCGCAAGATGAGTGCACAAGCAGACCCCGCGCAGCGGGTTGCGATAGGAATCTCCTTTGGCAACTCGTACAGCTCTATTGCTTTCACCACTGGTGTGAGTATTTTCTAATAGATATGATGCTTCCTGAGACACGGCTGACACCAATGTAGGAGGGCAAGGCAGAAGTTATTGCCAACGAAGACGGAGGTGCGCCGTTGTGATGCTCGCCCACATTCTCTCGCCAATACTAATCTTTTGCACAAAGACCGTCAGATTCCCACCGCCCTGTCCTACGTCGAGGGCGAAGAACTCCACGGTGGCCAGGCCAAGCCCCAGATTGTCCGCAATGCAAAGAACACCGTCGCATACTTTCGCGATTTCCTCGGCCAAGAGTACGGCTATTCGTCCCCCCTCTCTGTGTGTTCCTACGTGACTGACGTTATCCAAGTTACAAGTCGATAGACCCCTCGCCATGCCACCAGTCTGCCCACCCCATCGAGCACGAGAACAGCATTGCGTTCAGCATCCGCGACGGTACTGAGGAGCAGGAAAACACCGTTTCCATTGTCGATATCACTACACGTCACCTTAAGCGACTACGAACCTCTGCCTCTGACTACCTTGGAAAGGATGTCAACGCTGCCGTCATCACCGTTCCCACAAACTTCTCCGACGCCCAGAAGGAGGCGCTCAAGAAGGCTTCAACAAGTGCTGGTATGGAGGTCCTGCAGTTCATCAGCGAGCCCACCGCTGCTGTCCTGGCCTACGACGCTCGCCCCGGTGCGCAGCTCGCAGACAAGGTCGTTGTCGTTGCCGACCTGGGTGGCACCCGTGCCGATGTTGCTGTTGTCGCATCCCGTGGCGGCATCTACACTATCTTGGCAACAGTTCACGACTACGATGTCAGTGGCTTCAAGCTCGACCAAGTCCTCATGGACCACTTTGCCAAGGAATTCATGAAGAAGCACAAGTCCGCCGGTGACCCTAGGGAAAACGACCGATCGCTGGCCAAGCTGAAGCTCGAGTGCGAGGCTGTCAAGAAGGCCCTCTCCATTGGTACCACAGCAAACTTCTCCGTCGAGAGCTTAGTAGGTGGCGTCGACTACACTGCCACCATCAACCGCACCCGATATGACCTCCTGGGCAACAAGCTCTTTGGTGCCTTTGCTCGTCTCATCACCCACGCGGTTGAGAAGGCTAAGTTGGATCCCCTTGACGTATCCGAGATTGTGTTGGCTGGTGGAAACTCTCACACACCAAAGGTCGCCTCTACCGTGGGCGCAGCTTTCCCTGAGTCCACCGTTGTCTTAGCTCCCTCCACCTCCCCCTCAGCCATCAACCCTTCAGAGCTGGCCGTCCGCGGTGCTGCCATTCAGGCCAGTCTTATCCAGGAATTCGAGCTCGAGGATATTGAGCAGAGCACCCACCCCATGGTCACCGTCACCCCTCACCTCTCTACCGCAGTCGGTGTACTATGCATTTCTGGCGATGAGTCTTCGGGTGTCTTCCACCCCATCGTCGACGCAGAGACACCATTACCCGTCCGACGAACTGCGACCATCTCGACCCCACGCGAGGGTGGTGACGTTCTTATCAAGCTTGCTGAGGGATCAAGGCACATCAAGGTTACCAAGCCAGAGCCCAAGCCCAAGGCTGAGAAGAATGAGGATGACGAGGAAGACAGCGATGAGGATGAGAGTGAGGAAGAGGAGGAAGAGCTGAGGGAAAAGACATGGAAGGTCGGCCAGGCCCTCAGCGAGGCCGCAATCCGTGGCGTCAAGAAGGGTGCAAAGGTCGAGGTCCAAATCAACATTGGTGCCGACCTAAGCATAAATGCCATTTTCCGCGAGGTCGGAGGAAAGGGCGGTGTGCGTGGTACTGTACAAGGAAGCAAAGTGAATGGTAGCGCATAAACGGAGTGTTGTTTGGATTGAGTCCCAACTTTCTCCCCCTTGACGATTTACACATTCAATCTTTTGAGCGGCGGCAATACACGGCATATAAGGCTAGACTTTTTTGTCGCTTTTCTCTCTATTCTAGGTTATAGGTATCTGCGAAAAAAATTAGGATCTATAGATGTGTGGTATCTGCTGAGTTTGAGACTGTACAATGCTTGGGAATCTGTAGTCTCGGGCTTCGTGATGCGTGGATACTGACGCGTTTACCGTAGTCTGTTCTTAGTGGTTCTAGTGCCGAGGTATTTGTTTCGATATCCATGTTATTGTCTGTCGAAGAGACAAGGACCTATCTTGAATAATTCTTAAGTACAACTTCGTTGTCATGCGATGGCCGTATCGAGTACAGTAACAACGGAGACAATGCAGCAAATCGCCCAAATATCTAACTCTTTATCCATGACATCTCCTCCAACTACCGATTCTGCAACAACCGAAACCTCGGTCTCATCTTCCTCCCCAGTGCCGTCCCATGAATCCACTCTTCATAGTCCACATTTCGCGTCGTACCAATCAAAGACCAAACATCCTCATAATGCCACCTCCCCTCGATCCAATTTTCCCTGTCCAATTCTTCAACAAGCAGAGACTCCAACGCCCCCAACTCCTCCGCATACTCTTTATCCCACTCCGTGCTAACCCCAATATTCAAATACCGCAACCGACCAAGCCACCCCTCATCAATGAGCGAATATAAATCCGTCGGCGTAAAACTGCGCGCAGGATCGCCCTGGCGCCCACTCGACACAAGCGTAAGACTAGTAAGCGGCCTCGCCTCCTGCCATCGGCTTGGCGAAAAATCTATGGGCATAGAACCGAACCGCGAGTCGATGTAATCAAGTGCTATAGTCAGCGACACGAGCTTTGGTAGCCATTCCAGAACACCGTTTAACCGTCCTTGTTTCACAGCCGGTAAATCACGCAGTTCAACGGATGTAAGGTTCGTAGCGAGGGTGCTGAGTAAAGGTCTTACGCCGGAGTGGTCGAGCGCGGGACAGTGGTGTATACTTATCGAGGAGAAAGTCGGGGGGAAGTTGTCGGGTTGTTGGAGCATATCCCAGAGGAATTGGCCGGAGACTGAACCTGAGAGGGCGAGATGCTGGAGGCGAGGGGGCCAGCGCAAGGTTGATGTTGGGGAGGTGGCTTTTTCGTAGCGGGAGGAGCAGCGGGGGAGGTAGAGTTCACGGAGTTGGGGGAGCTGGCGGA